GGGTTCTATATTGACTAATTGAACAGTAAGTACACAAATGTCATATAGATGCCCTAAATCTTATAAGATAATTCTAGGCTACCATTTTATTTATTAAGTACGAAACTATAAAATTTTTACAAAATCATGATTAATATTTATTTTCCGCAGCGCATAGTGCATTGTAAAATGTCGCGGTATCTCCTCATACGTCCTAACCTCGCGACGTCCGCTGTACGCACCCATGATTGCTTACGGTAGAGATAAAGAGAACATCCGTCGCTTTTCATCCGCCGACTTGCCAAATCTGGGCTTCCACAAATTTAAGACAATGGACTAATATTTAGCTAAGAAATATTTTTAAAATATACGGCAAATGGGCCATAAGTTCAGCAGAGAAAACAATTATTATACCGGACCAATAGCTGGACAATAAGAGGCTGCTTAATTCAGAGCAAAAATATTAAATGTAAGTGCACTGTTAGCCAAAAAAAAATGCAAAGTCTAGGTACTATACCCCTTTTTGGTAAATCATTTAGGATCTCTGCGATAAGATTATGGAATTTGCTCCCTGTCTCGATCCGCTTAGCCTCGTCACTGCCATATTTTAAGCATCTCCTCTATAAGCATTTTATGTCAATAGCCCATCCACAAAACTAGTTCGATTTTATTATTATTATTATTAATTGGTTGTGTATAATATTCATATTTTTTTTGTGAATTTTGAATTAAGCTTCGCATGACCTGCACGTTCCCATGACATTACTTATTTCATTTTACTCAAGGGTTGCCTGGAAGAGATCGCTCTATAGCGATAAGGCAGCCCATTGCACTCTATAACTGGTGAGAATAATGTATCTTTAAAATTTTTATTATTAAGAATATTTTAAGGAATCATGTATATACTTTGTGTTTGTGTGTGTTGCAATGAAGAATTAAATCAATAAATATACCAAGTTATCGCATTTTTAAAAGTGCCGAATGGCTAACCTCCTTCAGATAAAGGGGCTACTCTTGCTTCAGATATGGTGTAGATTACTGCCAAGATTGCAGATTCTAAAAATGAGTATATACAAAGATAAATGCATCAGATGATTTCAAGTCTTCAAGTGAAAAGTCACTTAGAGTCGTGAATTTGGAAACTCGACAAATCACACAAAGAAAACAATGGACGGTAAAAGGCGCGTAGGCGTCCATATTACGGCACCGAATGCGTAAACGCATTTGGTCTATGCGTAGGCTCCCACCCACTGGACTAGTTCCTGTAGAAGCGGTTTCCATTTCGAAAACCCACGCGACCCTTCCGAATACATTCTTTGGGCGTTCAAGTACGACAAGTAATCGTCGACTTTCGATAAATTGCTGAGATTTCTGCATTTATTGCAACGTTCCATCTACAGCATTGGTTTCCCAAATCGGGTAATAGGTGCACCCAGGTATCAATGAACTGGAATTTCAATCGGAATCAAGACTTGATAGTTCTTCATATACTTTGTTAATAGAACTACATAGAATAGATCGTTCAAGTATTTTGACGGGGTCGAAAACGTTTCTATTAAATTTATAATTTTTCTGAAACATGTTGGGCTTCGTGTCGTTCGTCCACCGGGTTACGAAGAGAAGAAAAAGCCGTCAATTTTAACCAAAGCGAAAATAGGTCAACGGCGCATCTAGTTTAGTTGTAATATGGCTGCGGTATTCAACCCACCATCAAGAGAACCCCAGGCTTCTCTGTCTCCTCTATGATAATAAAATTACTGTATCACATTTCTCTCACTTACGTTTATTTTAAATATATTCTTCTGAATTCACGAATAAAATTATAGTCTTTGCGCGGCTTAATTGCAATTAAACATATGAAATAGATACGTTTTCACCGTAGAAAACTGATCTCACGTTAAGAATGATCACGTCGCGTAGATCAACCGCCGATATTATAGCTACTATGAGTCGTGGGAACAAAGAATTTACTGCAGCTTGAACCAGTTTTCTACATGATATAGTGCACCCTTGGCGAGATAGATGGAAACAGTTACAACAAATGATGAGGGGACATTGGTGCAATGGTGCTAATTAATCAAAGAGTTGCGGGTTCAGTCCCAAACGGGTCCAACATAATTTTAAAATGAGTTTTATTAACTGGGTGGTAGATGTATCAAAATTTCGTCCGGATTAATAACCACCATCCACAAATGAAAAATCTGTGGAGTGTGATCGCGTCTTGGTCTCGTGGGTTTGGTGTTTCGTTTATTAAATAAACCCCATAGTATATTATAGTTTATTTTTATGCATTTGCTGCAACTCCTTTAGTTTAAAAAATGGGAACAATAACAAGCTTTCATTAATATTAATTAACCAACCCACATGTCACGTGTTAGAAAACGACTGGCATAACCTTGGCTTCTACACCTCCATGCTGCCCACGACTACCCTCATTTGGTCATCGTTGTGGGCGCTAACGCCTAAGCACGAACGAAACCTTATACCAGCAGAGTCGCCTTAACGCAGGTTGCGGAATATCAAAAGGCGCCTACACATCAATATGCAATAATTACGATATTATTCCAATCCTATTATGTCAAGCTCGATTTTAAAAGAGGCAAGGTTAGGCGTTGCTTAATTTGAACACACCTAGCTTGTAAAAACAACAAATTAATTGACACTTTAAAATCCATTACTTTCAAAATTTTAGTAATCTCGTCGAGAGGCTATTAAACTCATTATCATCTCTTATCAGCACTTAATCTTGAAGTACTTGTAACGATAAAAGATATCAGTAAATCTGGTATGCCGTTGTTAACATCGTGTGATATACGAAGCTGATTTCATTGATGTGCTATCTAAATTGGACAATGTCATATTTTATCAATATAGATGGTAAATAAACAAGTATTTTGATTGATTATTTGTATACATTGCTAGGCCGCTAGCTGATTGTTGATTGACAGCAGGTATTGTTTTTGAAATAAACTATGGCGATGAAAAATGTAAACAAATATGTTGAACAAGATATTATATACTAATGAGCCAAAGTTTAAATGAGAATAGTTTGAAAGACAAATAAGAACCCGTATTACCGGACTCTTTTGAAGTAAGAATTTAAAGTGTCAATTTTACATTGCCTAAGCATCTAATACTGAAGTAAGTACTTTTATTTTTAGCAATGAATGAACATGCTCCCTTAGCCACCGCAACCGGAACAGACGAATTCACAGTTGGCATAGATTCAAAACATTTGGTACATATTGGTAAGTAAAAATAAGAATTTTTCATATTTCTGTGAAACAATACAAACAGCAGTCCGCGTGAAAATATAGTGAGACTGTCTCGCAGAAGCTATTCTATTTATAAAGCTTCTGCGAGACTTTCAATTCAGACAAATTGACTAATAGGTTAAGTGCCTAATTAACTAAGTCCAAAACGGCGAACGTTTCCCAATATTCCTATGACTCAATCCATATCCGATTTCGAACCTATCAAAACGAAATTATGAGACTCCGTCGAGTTAAGGCTTAAGTTCTCGCTTTTATGGCAAATGTTAAAGCAACATGTTCTTGAATTATGCAAGCCAAGTGACAAGTATTTTTACACGAACAGGCATATAATGCAATTACGATAAAGAAAAATGTCGCAACTGTGGAGTTTAATGAAACAAAAAAATGTGACGCACCGCTGTAATTGATTTTTAATTATAGACCAATTAATAAATTAATAATTAAATTATACAAATACCCAAACTGTTAGTCGGATAACATGTATTGTAGCAAGTAATGTTCCAGTACAATTTTATATCTCTAAGTATGAATTCAATTAGATTCATGGCATGTTTTACAAGTGGCTTATTTAAATACAAGTAAATATAACAAGTGCCATCCCATTCATTACAGAATAATATTAGCTTGTATATATAATGACATCATAGCATCGAAATAGTATATTTGATAGGGAATTTGGTTTTTCTTTTTTTCTGTGTTTGAGTATCGTAAGTTGCATAGTTTGGATTATATGTCAGTGGTTACCGATTTATGACATGTTGTACGGAGGTGTCAACTGTCGAGCAAGCCTTACTCCGGTGAGACGTGACTTGATTTCGTGATTAGAAACTAGAGTCTTCATAAGGTACCTGCGTCAACGGTGAATTTTATAGCTGAACTTAAACTACTATATACATACAACGTATCACCTAATTTGATGATGTAAATGAAGATGATGATATAAACAATATTAATAATAATAGTAAAAATCTTGTTAATTTTGAAAGTAGCTATCGTCCCTAATATAAATATATGAAAGTAAGCAATTAATAATAATTCTCAAGCAAAGCAAACTTTTCTTATCAATACTAGTTTAAATACCCTAATGATAACAATACTATTGTTACAGCTTCCTCGCCGTATTGAGCAAAATCAGTTGCAACATAAATTCCTATTATAATCTAGATAAAACTAAAGTTAGAACAATTTAAGATAATAAGTACTGTAGTTGGTACGAATCAATTATTAGAGGAGAAAAGGTATTCAGGCCAAAATAAATCTAATCTAAAGGCGGTAGCGGTCAAATCTGTGCGCGCGCGCCGCATACAAATCTCGTATGGCTGAAAACGGCGCCTACGGTACCTACGCGATGTGGCGACATTCCATTAACTCACGCGGAATGTACCTCGGCCCTACGAACAGGTTATCCCCACAGGACATGCGATCCTTCTCTTTACGCGCCCTCATTTTAAGACATTCACCACTAATTAGAATCGTATAAACATTTCGTAATTCTCCATCGCTTATTATAGGTATCTCTTTCAGTGACCGCAACTTGTCCGTGCAGACGTTCTGCTTTACTTCACTCTCCGAAACAGGATCGCATTACAGATTTCACTGGACCATATCTTGGCGAAGCGAAGACAAAAATAAACTTAATATCGTGTGCATTTATCATCGACCGGGTGACTAAATTACAGCGGAGATCTAACGTGTTTCGTGAGGTCATTAACACATCGGTACATTTGGCTTATCTATTTGACTTACCTTCATCTAAAAGCCGCTCCATGTGCATGAAAACATTCGGGAACGCAGCCAGTTGCTTCCTGTCTTTGAGCAACTGAGCTAAGTAGTCCGCTATACTTTGCGTTGACGGATTGGTATTATCACACATTTTGAATCCTATTCAGAGAACTAGACACGATGAATGTCTTAATAATCACGGTCAATACGTTATTGTACTTTAGTAGTTAATTATGTGTTATTTTGTGAAATGCTATGTTAGAAAAGTTAACTTCACTACCACACACATCGACGTTTTGATCACCACTAAACGACGATTGACGAAGTTGACCGAAGTGAAGTTGTGGGTGAATATAGTTGCGCCGGCGCACTCGTCGAACACATTTTTTGTGCGCTTGCGGCTTCTATCCTCAGTGTAGGCGTAAAAATAACATACGGCCGTCTCGCTTGTTCGTGGACGTTACGCGATGTCTATCTCTCTCACACATTGTGAAGACATGCGCGCCATCTAGTTAACCTAGTTTCAACTACTTTAACCGGTCATTAAATAGATGACGAATTAAATCTGTGGAGAGCGACAAATATCAGCTGTATGACTTCACAGTTTACAAGATTATCTAGAGTTAATTGTTATTTCAAACATAATATTTATTGTGATTTAGATGTTGTTAAACTTGTAATTACGCGTTATAAATTGAAATAATAATAATTTATAGACATTATTATATGTTTGACATGTAATTAATTTTTGCATAACAATATATTATGTACTTAGGTAGATATCAAAGGAGAGTTGAGAAGAAAATACCTTTTTTTTACTTTTAATACTTATATTTGTAACACATAAAATAATTTGAAGAAATTAAACATTGGTGGATTGTTTTTGAATTAATAAATATTCAGGATTGTGGTTAGTGCCGGACCTATAAATATAGCATAATTTTATGCGTTACTTGTTCAATCTCCTAACAATAATGTTTGTATTGCATCGGTACGTGGCCAGCGGATTATACTAATTAGCAAACGATTGATTGGCCTTGCCTTGAATCAAAGGTCTGCCGAACCAGGACCTAATGGTTGCTTCCCACATTTACCATCTACCTACCTGGTTAATGAGCATTTGAAAGACATGTAAGAGATAATTGAACTTAGATTATTGTTTAAGAATATATTTTTCAATAGTCTACTTGAAATTTGAGTTGTATAATTTTTTAAGTTCCTTTACGTAACTTCACTTAGTATGTTATTTAATAAAAATACGTAATAAATATTTATATTCATATACAAATATTGTAAAGCTGGAGTTTCTTCGTTTGTTAGTTAAGACGCGCTTGCCTCACTACGCGATTGAATTAAAAAAAAATGTTTTGTGTTGTTTAAATCTTTTAACGAGGTAGGCTTATAGGTTATATTATTGCTGCAACCAACAGACACACATTTAAACAAAACACTTTACGGTTGAAAACGCGAAATATATATATATATATATTTTTTGAAAATTATTTTAATTAACGCCCAACGTTTCGGATGCTTGGCAGCAGCCGTGGTCACGGGGAGGCTAAAGATGGAGGGTGTCTCTGATGTCAAAGTAAAGCTAGCGAAACAGCAGCAACTAATATATATCACGCTTTAAACCGTTAAAGTGTTTTAATCGAATTTGGTCGAAATTAATGCTATCACCAAGTATTTGTTAAGAGTTGTATCAACATACCTAATAATTATTATCTTTGCACACGACAAGACAACGTTTGCCGTTGTTATAGATTTGATTCAAGACCTTTCTACCATGACTATTTCGTATATGGAGCGTGGTAACTTTTAATCCGTCTAATTCAATAGATCCATGTACATCGGATAGGGGTCAATTATCCATTTATCCATTTAACAAAATTGATAAAACGTAACCAAGTCGGGTGATTTTAATTGATCCAGACTGCTTGCTAGTTTAAAACGAATTTCGTCAATTTCTGAAACGATTACCGGACCTTATAGCGGTCATATGGAGGATTTAGCTATTTGATCCAATTTAAAGTCTAATACAATACGTGTTAGTCAAAGATACAAGTGACTTTTAGTATTGTTTAACCCATAACCATGGCCAACAACATTCCACATCTTCCAAAATTCAAATTTTAAAACGTATTTTCAAATACGACTAAAATTTCAAATGTTTTGCAGCGAAGTGTAGGTATGTACGAATGACTAAAAATAACTAGGTGTATAAATAACACTTCCAAAACCTTTATTTAATACGCGACATGTCAAACCATCATTTTTTGTTTGTGAGATAGACGAGTATAGATAGATCTATAAGCTCTAGAAAAATCTAAATTTCTATTAAGACTAGAAATATTCCAGTCTCAGTACAAATTGAGTATATCTACATTTGGTTTCGGCTATACGCCATATTATATTTGAAGTATGGTCTCATGACACCTTAAACACATTTTCTTCACGTTTAAAACTTTTGAAATTATTTAATTTAATGTATAAGTTTGTTTCGTAATATTTTATGTCGGAGAAATCTGAGGTAGCAGGCAATAAACTTACGTGAATAAATCATATAATACATGACAAAAGCAATAAAATTATAAGAAGACATCAATTTTACAATTACAAAAGAAAAACAAATAAACAATGATATATGGTGATAGAGTGCAATATATTATAGTTAATTAAATAATCTCGAGATTTCTAATAGCAAGCAAATGCCAAACGCCAATAAAATCGTTTATGACAACATTTTTCTCTATTACGTTCAGGATTTCCATAAACAGACCATCATTATGCGACCTCGCGCCAGCTATGGCGAACTGGCAACCCGTTCACAACTAATTATACCTAACTATTGAAAACTTGAATTTACGAAGATGGCAATAAAATGGTGCCGCAAATGTGTCCCTAGGAAAAATTCAAACCACTCAATACTGCGAAAAAACTTTCACTAATAGAGGAAAACTTGTGAGATAGATGTAGTTTAATTATATGAAAACCATGCGAGTTCGTAGATTTGATTCCTTGAACCGAAAGTATAATATATTCGTAAGGGAACTACGCTAAAACGACTGTCATTATTATTATAAAGATAAAAAATATATTTAAGAAATAACAACGATATAGGCGGAACTCTACAACATCGGTTTGGCCTGAACATAAGCGCAAATATGGCTAGAGTACTATCTAAGTACTTAACGTTATAACTGAGTCCCAGCTGTGGGATTTAATGACAATAAAAGGAAATCTCCGGTACGCAATCAGCAAGGTTCTTGTAGCCTTCTCCTAGTAATCACTAAAATACCTGTTGCAATTTCAAACTAGCTTTTCCTTGATGATGTAATCATTAGGGCTTAATGATTAGGTCCTTGTGATTCTAGTTTTTCTCGTGATTATTTCTGTAGACAATAATCTTTGATTTCCATTACCTATTAGGTTTTTGCTACGTAGTTCAAAATAATTGTGAATTCTGGTTTGTGAAATGATACAAAAAAAGTGTTTTTAAAGAAGAAAGGATAAAAAAACTGACTAGCACATTGTATAATAAGGCATTTTCAGACATTCGTATTTTAAATGTTATTCTAGATCTTATAATGTATTTTATTTTTATATCCTTAATTGTGTGCTTTGTAGGTAAATCGTAATTAAAAAACAATAAGATACACCTCCAGATTGGGTAAATTTTATATAATATGTAATATATATATTTTTAAATCGTGACGTCATATTGAATGTTTTAAGTACTTTTTATCTTTACTTTATAAAGTAAGTAAATAACATCCGTAGTTTAAGTGAAACGAAGCCTACTAGAATTACTTTAATTCTACCCTAGGTCGTAACCATCGAGATTTATATCCTATCATTAGATTTACCGCAAACATCAAATACTGTTATTTTCAAGTCGAATGATATTAAAAGGAAATACATACAAAAATGCGTAAGTTTAAGTGTATTCGTAATTGTTACCTGTTACGTAAGTGAGCAAAATATATGTATTATTTTATTTCAGCTGAGTCCGATACTGAAAACGAATCGAGCCTAGACATCTACAAATACAGACGTGGAAAAGACGGAATTTTCATAAACCCCTTCGCTACTGGGCGGTATTCCGAAGACATATCTCAAAATATTATAATCGAATTGGACGAACAGAAACGGCAAAAACGATACGCGATTCTTCAAGAGCCAAAATCTGACATCACCAGCAACAGATTACGTTATTTCCTACTTATTTACTCCAATCCAATATGGAATATTTTTATTTTATCTGTCATTTTCATCTCGTACATGTTTGACACGTGTCTTTACACGTTCTTTAAACCGGATAAAAAACCCTTCTGGATAGTCCTATTGTTGATTTGTTTAAACTTAATTTTCACAGTGGATGTCAGTGTTTTGTTTGGACTAAAGTTCTTTCAGCGGTGGCGTAAAACTTTGAACATCGTTGAGCCATGTACATTGAGAGTTACTTTAGATATTATATTGGCAGTACCATATCCAATTTTGTACCTAATAAGACCACAGTTTATGCTGTTTGAATGTTATGCAGTTTCACCTATCATATCTACAATTCGTGTATACAGAATAATAGAGTATTCGTACAATAAATCTTCACAAGCTGGAACGAATCAGTGGACGACATTTTTAGCCCAATATCTTATTTTATTTCTGCTCTCCGTACACACGTATACGTGCATTTGGTATTTGTTTTCATATAAATCGTTTGACGTTCACAAAATCCGCGACTCTTGGGCAGTCGGTTCGGTCTATTTACCAACTGAAACTGTCCTGGATTGGCACTTTGTTTGTGCTTACTGGTCCGTAATGATATTAACTACGAATTCACTTGGTGATCTTTACCCTGTGTCAACAATCGAAAGAGTTATAGCTACTCTAGCTATTTTATTAGGGTTCCTTTTGACAACAATCGTTTTTGTCGGTTCATTAACTTCACAATTTATTACTATAACAACAAGACGCGCCAAATATGTACGTAAATTGCAGAAAATTCAAAATCATCTGTCTTTGATAAACATGGACCAGGATACTACTAAACGTGTTATAAGGTCTGTTAATACTATATCATTAAGTATTTTTGATAGCTTACGGGAGCATATAAAGAAACGATTGGAAACGCGACAAGACAATTTATTTTGAATCTATGACCCGATGACGGTCAAGTGGCCCCCTACGTGGTACTACTTTCCTAAAAATTTCAAATAATATATTTGTGTAGCTTAAATGCCATAGTTTCCGCTCTGAAAATCAAATGGGAAAGGCATTACTTACAGTACGAAACGTCCAGGGTTCGAATACCTAGAAGACATAAAGAACAGTTTGTTTGGATATGGCACAAAATGTGACTTGATTTCCTGTTAATAAAATTAATCATCAAATGGACACAGATATGTTTCTACCCCATACCCTCATAAATAGAAAATAGTGAGCACAAGAGAATAATTCAGTTACATTATATATCTAATACAGGTACTATGAAGACCTATGGTACCAAAAATCAGGTGTATTCAAGCCGAAGCTCATAAAACTTCTCCCAGCCCCCTTACTGATGGAGATATGCTATGATCTAAACGCAGTTCCACTGTACAGCTCTCTGGTATTTAGACAACTTCCTGAGCCATTTCTTAGAAGACTTTCCTTGGCTATGTGTCACCAATTTTATTTACCAGGGGATATTGTTTACAATCACAACCAAAATAAAAGTTTCATGGTAAGAAAACTTAATAATGAGATACCATTTATCACATTCAAGCAGTTTAAGCATTAAGGTAGATGGGTAAGTCAAAAATGTTTACAGGTAGAAAAGAATGTTCTCTTGTAAGTTGTTTACATATTAGATAGCAACCTGTAAACTCGTTTAAAAGTTCGAAATAATATTAGATAGAAAATAAATACTTTTATGTATGTACTAGACTGATACGACTTTATCAAATTATTAATATTTTAATCATCAGATTTGTATTACAAATGGTGTGCTTGAGTTACTGTCTGATGAAGATGACGAAAGTCCCATGATTTCATTTGGGAAGGGGACTTGTATTGGTGAAATATCTCTTGTGTTTAACATACCAGGTAAATATTAATACAAAAATACAGTATTCTTTTGTACTACTGTAAGTATCCGGCATGTTTTAAAAAATGCTACACAAAATGTTTTTTTTAATGGTAGAGGAGGACAGACTAATGTGGGTTTACTTGATGGTAGGAGAAATACCCCAGAAATATAACATCTAAACAAGAGATGCTGCCGACCTTTTTTTGGCTTTTGATATCTTATGAAATCTATAGACTGAAATCGAAAGGCGTGACGGGTTTTTCATCTGAACGGTGGACCCGAACGAGGTTTCGATATTCTTACCTTTAAAAGTTATAAATTGAGTAGAAATAGGTTGGACCGGTGGGGATCGAATCCATGGCCCGTCGATTATTAGCCATACATTGCTACGATTATACCAACGAGATGGTCAAACAATACTAGATTCTAAAACTGTATTATTGCACATATTTCTAGCAAGGTGCACTGTCAAAGCAGCGAACTACGTGGAATGTCAAATCCTCAATCATACTGACTTCATCAAACTTATGATAACTTATCCTGATATAAGTGCGCAAATTAGGAAGGAAATGTTAGAAAGGATAACACGAAGTCACAGCAGAAAGGTCCTTACAAAAGCAGCGTTGAGTTTAAACGTATACGCATCTAAAGATCAGAAGAAAAGTAGCATCAAATGTTTGAAAGATAAACTAAGATTTATGCAAGGTGAGACCAGTATCGTACTTATGGAAAAAAATACAAATTCACGTTAAGGTACATTTTTTAGTCGGTTATGTACTAATGATTGTATGTAAACGTCAATCTACGACACCCGTATGTTGTTCCTCTTAATTCTAAAAGATTTTTAAATATTTTTATTTTAGTAATAGTTTCGTACATTTTTTTGGGTTCATTATAAGTGCATTCATAATAACGACGAATCTATACCACGTTACTATATATTTTTTATATAATACAAAAGCTTATCTGCGCATGGGGCTCTCTTGATAGAATGGGAAATACGACATGGGCTTTGGATATTCGGAAATCTACAGACTGAAACCGAAATGCGATTAACCTTTAAGGCTTTTTCGTACGTGGACGGTGGTTCGTGACCTGGGTAGGTATTCCGATTTTCCTACCGCCCATTTAATATCCAGAATTCAGGGATCAAGTCGAGGTATCCAAGTCCCGCTTATTAGACATACATTACTACCATTACACCAACAAACCTGTAGAAATAAAAAATATTTAATAAAGCAATATTCTTTAGGTTTCTCTGACAACGCTAATCTCATAAATGACGACGAATTAGACGACCACTGCCTAGATCTATACATTTTATCAGAACACATCAAAAAGAGAACGAAACCTTTCACTTGCGTAAACGCATCGTTCCCGTGGATCTTGGAAGCCAACTGCCACCTCGTGAAATATTGGCAATTATTCATGCTGCTCATTGTATTCTACATCTGCCTCGTGTATCCATTTTTTATCGGGTTCAAAAGAGAATTTCCCGGCGGAATGTTTTTCTACACAGAAATATGTATAGCGATATCATTGATGCTAAATGTAATTATGTCAGTCGTGACCGCTGTAAGAACTAAGAAAAAATACATAAAGAACTTTGTTGGCATATTGAATTACCGAATGAATACTCTAGGGTTTTACATGGATCTGGTTGCGTTAATACCATTTGAATACATTGTCACAATACACACCTCTGTGGGTTACCTTGATACGTACAGGAATCATCTGTTTTATCTGTGCAAAGGGATTAAGCTTTGTCTCGTTTGGAGGATATCGAGCTTCTTTGAAGAGCTGGAGAAGAAACTTCTGTTGAATACTATTGTGGTGAAGGTATATATTTAGTAAGAAACTAGATGATAGTAAAAATAATATTTGTACATCAAATTTATAAGAATATGTAAGCCATCAAGACACGCCTAGGATCTATAAAACAGGTGTGAAAGAAATTTAAAAATATTTTTTAATCTATACTAATACATATAGCTGAAGAGTTTGTTTGTTTGTTTGAACGCGCTAATCTCAGAAACTACGGGTTCAATTTGAATAATTATTTGGAAAAATTAAAGAAGTCTATAGGCTATAAAACATTGCGCTGTGACTAATAGAAGCGAAGATACAGCGTGAATAGTGAACAAAACGGGGGGAATTTTTCATCTCTGGGCGTTTCAGTTGCGTACGCTGCGAAAACGGTTCAAGATAACTAAAAAATGTGTATGAAAGAATCATTCCTCTTTAAATGATCTGAAAAAAAGTGCAGGGCGCTATATGTCTTTCTTTAAGATTAGTTTGCAAGAACGACGGGAAGGGACGCGATCGATGTTGTGGCTAACAGCTTAAGTTTATAAAGATGACGTGGTTTGCAGAACCTAATTTGGATGCCCAAAATAACGATCGAAGTCGATGGTACAGCTAGTTAAGTAAAAAATCGGTAATCATTATATGGGTGCGATGACGTAGTAATGTATAATATTTATCACATTTTCGAAATAGCAACCAATAGCTTGGCAATATAGACCACTATAAACTGTCAATTTAGTGCCCAAGCTCAAACAACTGTTGATATTTTTTAACTGCCTGTCTATACATACTTTCGACCATATCATGATCGTCAGCACCGTATTGATTGTTTAGTCAACAATTTGTAACTAGTCCCAAATTTAAGGATACCAACTTTGCCGAAATCTCATGTATTCAGAAGTAGCGGGTTCAATTACCTATTAGTTTCAACAAGTTATGAAAATATACAGTGTGAATAAACATTTGGTTTCGTAAATTCCTTGAGTCTAAAAAGTACAAAGTTTGATCAGTCATGAGTTTGCTTATAATATCTAAGATGCTTCATAAAGATAAACAGAAATAACTGTAAATATTATTGTTACTGCGATTTCAGATTGCAAAATACTGTGTGTACATCGCTCTGCTATGTTATTGGTCAGGCGTGATCTTGTATATGGAATCGTGCTTTGTGAATAGATGTTCGCAGCATTCGTGGTTCGCCAGGTCTTTGATTTGGGAAGATCAAAGGAGAGGAATTATGTCTACCAAGTGAGAAATTGAGATTCTACATATTGCTGAATAATTATTTTGAAACGCTCGTAGAATAAGCAAATATTATTTATTTAAATCCCATAAACGTAATAGTTTATTAAATTGCGTTAGACTATTCGTTCATACCACTAGACCAACACGACAAAGACAAGGTCAAAAACCTGCCATCATTCATTTGGCTGATGCGTGAGATAAAGGTATACCTCAACGGAGAGTCTTAAAAGGTTCATGCAGTCATCCCGAATCGTTCTTTTGCCATATATGTATAGTATTTCAACCAAAGTTTTTATAACCACAAAAACGGTCCTTGCAAGAATTCTTAAAAGATAGACATTATACTTTCCTGGACATTTTTTTTAAAGTTATTTAAAGAACAATAATGAATAATCTTTTACTATTTTTGGGTTCTCTCAGCGTTAAGCCACTAACGGAATCCCTCAAAGATAAATATTTTTTTTTGGTTTTTCCATAAATCTTTCTATTTTTTCGCTCCTATTGGTCGCCGACTGATGTTTTATAGCCTAAAGCTTTCCACGATAAATGCCCCAACCAACATAAAAATATTTTTTTCAATTCAAACCAGTAGTTCCTGAGATTTGCGTGTTCAAACAAACAAACTTTTCAGTCTTATGATATTAGTAAACATTTTAATACATAAGCATAAACAGTTAAAATTAAAATATTACGATTTTTGACATATAGGTCCCCAAAGGTCTCGCCTGTTTCGAACTAAATAACCATTACAAGTTAATTTTAAATGCATGTCACGATGTTAATTAACCCAGCTATACTTTTAATGAGTTTCAAAATGCTCGTTTAAAAATACTTTTTCGATTTCTAGGACGAAGTATCATGTTTTAACTTCAATTTATTTCGCAACTACAATTCTGTTGTCTGTGGGATACGGCGATTTTACTCCCGGTGATAGACACGATATGGGATTTGTTGCATTTTTGAGTTTATATGGGGTTTTATTAACGGGCTATTGCGTTTCGGAATTTTCCGCAGTTGTTACACATTGGTCAAGGTATGTATTAACTACGATGGTTTATGACCAGCATTACGTTCACTTTTAGGCATCTGTAGTGTTGGGAGAGGTCGGGACGTTGTTCAAAGTTAATTCAGTAATATATTTCACGTAGTAAACCGTCAATTTTTTTTAATTAAAAAAATACAGTTTTTGAACTTTAATTCTTTTTATTTTAATTTATCAATTAAACGAAACATTGTCAATTTACATATTTCACCTTAATACCGTAATTAAAACATTTTAAACGGTATAATTAATTCGACCGCTCGTTTGATTCGAACCCACAACCAACAAAACACTGTGCTGTTGCTTCATTAATATATAATGTTAAATCAATTGTTTTTAAGGACAAAAACAGCGTTTTTAGAAGTGATAATAACGATAGACAAGTTTATGAAGGAAAACAACATGCATCCAGCGATAAAATCAAGAATTATGGCGTTCTACGAACTGCAGTGGCAGTACAATTCAGTTAGTATTAAGCTATTAATGACGTAATATTATTCAGCAACTATTGTACCAGTACTTTTTACTAGTGGATATTATTGGCTTAACATTTTGTTGTAGATTAAAAACCGTAGACAGTGATCGTGGATCGTCTTTACGTTTTTTTTTAATGTTAGAGAACACAAAAGCATGGCGTTCCCTTGATGGGAAGTGTATCCCAGCCATATATTTATGGCTGGGGTGACACAAGATTCGCTGTCGATTTTGGCTTTGTATATTCGGAAATCCACAGACTGAAATCGAAATGCGATTAAAGTTTACGGCTTTTTCACTGTGGACGGTGGTATGTGACCCGGACGGCATTTCGATATTCCTACTATCCATTTAACATCCAGATTTCCAGACGAAGTCCAACGTGTTTCAGTAAAGTTATCTAGCATTATGTTAAGCGCAAGAAGTTCTGGGTCCGATTCCCGGGGAAACAATAGATTATTACGGTCAGGCAGGGCATAGAAGTGTGATTAACTACTTGAAAATCGATCGGTATAACGGACAGAGAAATGTGTTCGCCCCAAGCCTCAAAAATTTAAATAGGATTTTACTTTTACACACACAGATATGTATAAAAGTCAATTCGCGTTTCGTCATCAAATGAAAGTTAAATACAAAATAATCCCAAAAAAGTATTTTATAGGGTGTAGAACTAACGGATGAGAGTTGGCTTAAGAAAACCGTCGTACCCGCAGAACTAAGAAAGAAAGTTCTTCACCAAGCCAGATTCAAGACCCTAACTTCAATTAGGTTCTTTCAAGTCAAGAATAAAGCTTACATTCACACCTTAACTGAAAGTAAGTTTCCTATGTTCTTCATCAGTAGGCTCTTAACATATGAAGCGGTTTTTGTTGAAGAAGGATTGTTTTACATATCGAGACATGGAAAAAGCGTGGTCAATATTAATTTAAAGGTATAAATACATATATATCGTTTGTTAATGTAGTGGTAACACCAGGGTATCCACGAAAACATCCTAGCGGGCTGGTGTGTTTAGTGATTGTCGGTTGTGTCGCCTCCCGTAGGGTTGGTACTACCAACTTGAGCGCGTATTTCCCATCCGGTTATTTAGAAGCTGAAAAATAATTTGAAAATTTAAATCCTTTCTATATTAAGCTCAGTTCATTTTTAAGAGGGATGAAGTGTTTTAAATTATAGATAGGTACATTATTTAACCCCCAATATTAATCATATACTTTTTAAACCTTTGAATACCCTAAAATCATGTTTTTAAAATACCCGAAAACATCGTATCACCGTAACCTGATGACGTCACGTAACAAACGTAAACGTAGATTTTTAACATGAGCCCTAATTTAATAAGTTCTATGGAGTACCTTTAAGTGAAAGCAATACAAGGAAAACACATAAGAAGTAATTTATTTATGTTCCTTGTTCGGTAATATTATTTTTTAAATATTAATAAAATTAAGGGAATTTACTGTGATATGTTGTATTTCCATACGAATTTGCGTTCAAATTATATTTATTTTTGATTACAGCCAACATCCCTTGAAATATATACTCGTTATAATAAAAGTAATAGGTTTGTTTTGCTATGGAATTGTTCCCTTAATTTACTTTATATCATGAAAACGCATTGTATGTATGAAGCCTAAGCTTGGGTATAACACATTTTACACGCTCAACCTACTTGTGTCAATTACGTACACGCTGTCAGCTAATTACCGGCTGCTGTATGATTCAAAACCGTATGTTGAAAGAAAGATGTTTGTGACGGCTAGAAATATTAACGCCGAAATGCATCGAAATAGTTCACAACTTCACACTTGTTTTTAGAATGAAAATTGTATAAAATACTAGCCGTGTCCGCGACTTCGTCCGCGTAGATTAGTTATTTTGGCCATTCAAATTTGTTTTTGCAAACCTTCTCGTTGTCTTTATAAACTTAACCCACGACGTCAGTTGCAACCCGTCATTCGGATCCGGTCGCTCTTGCAAGTTAATCTTAAAAGATAGCCATTTTTAGATCATTTAAGGCATCATTCTGCCATAACAATTTTATTGGTGTCTTGAACCGTTTTCGCAGCGTACACATCGGAAACCCTCAGAGGCGAATAATTTCCCCTGTTTTTTGCACATCTTCCGTTGTTTTTTCGCTCCTATTAGTCACTGCGCGATGATTTTATTAGTTCGATTTGAAACTGAAACCCGATTAAAGTTTTCATAGGCTTTTCATCTGTGGATGGTTCGTGACCCGGACGGAATCTCGATATTCCTAGCACTCACTCAATATGTAGAATTCCAGAGGAACATGTTTCAGAAGAATTATAAATTGTTTATGAACATGTTAAAATTTGTTAAAGTTGCTCATTGGTAGCAACAATGAGTCCGTCGAAATTTCTTTAAATATTGCTTCTATCGCAATCTTTTTCACGTGATGGCACGATATAAATTGCAAATTAATCTTTTTATTTATTTATAATGCGCGCGAGGTACACGTATCAATAGATTGGAAAAAATTCGACGATGACTTGTGGGATACGGTAGCACAATTGGTTAGAGCACGGAACTCTGTGGATGCCTTGTGTCATTTTTTTAAATTATAATCGATTTTTAATTAATACTTTTTTGTTCCAGCTGCAAGGGACATAATTTTGCCGCCCGGCGAGATAGTGTACTACGGCGGTACGACTACAAGGGAACTGTATATAATCGAGAGTGGTTACTGTCTCGTGACATCTAAGACGAGAGAAGGCAGGGAGCGTGTCATTGGCCCCGGGAACCATCTGGGCCTGCTCGTGCTGCTTTACGGCGTGCCCGCTGTCAGCACGATAATCACTTTGACACACTGTAAAGTAAGGGATGGCCCTTTAAATTACGTTAAAATAATAGTAATACCAGTGCTTTACTAGTAATATGTTTATTTACTATTAATTGTCATAAAAAGACTTTGAGATTTAAATAAGACACATTAACGGTTTAAAACGCGATAGTGAAAGTTGTTTGAAAATTATTTGTATTTACGTCCCGACGCATCGGATGCTTTGCAGCAGACGTGGTCACGGGGAGTCTTCCCGTCCCAAGTATAACAAATATATACTGCGATTCAAACCGTTCAAGTGTTTTATTTAAATATGATACCATCTACATTATATTTCGTCATATCTTTCAGTTAATAAGCATTGGTCATTTTGCATACACATCAGCGTTAAACCTATTCCCTGATATGAAGGAACATGAGGGTTTACTGACTCCAGAGGAACTGCATAGTATAGAACAGCAAGCTAAATCACAGAATACAGACGCATACTTGAAGCATTATAATGTATTTGTTAGTAGACGTCTGACAACCATTCTAACTAATGTGTTGCAAGACTTTTTTAACGGTTAGTACATACGCTCAACACTAGAAATAAGGCTCAGGTATACTACCTTCGTAAAATCTAAGAAGTATACTTTATACAAATTGTTCAGAAGTCAATAGTTTAAACAACACATACAATAACAGGTCGTCAAGGATCTACAAAAATGTTATCAATTAGCCTTGTATTAGTCTGAGTCTATACTCGTAGACATTTAATAAACACGAATAAAAATCGATTTTAGATTTAAAAAAATTACGACACGTGCGGGACATGACCGTTGTCCACAGCGATCCGTGCTGTTGCTCCACTACTGAGCTACCATCATCGTCGATTTTTTTATTCTAAAATCGGTTTTTAGAAAATATTAAAATTACTTCTAACGATTAAACGCGAAATATTGAGTTAAATTATCATACCCGTATTTTAAGAGATGTTTGAATAAATTCTTAATATATTTGTTCTAATGGTTAAATGTGTTTTATAAAATTAAGCTACCACGTCTACACCTAAAGTAAGATATTTTTGGTTGTATTTTTAAACGTATTAATAAAATTAAAAAAGTATAAATATGGTTTACAGACTCGTTCATAAACGTCAAGGAATATTATCGGCGCAATAATGAAAGTTACATAAAATCATTTCAACAATTCAAGATCCTGAACAACATCTCTCCATACCTGTTGATGCCGATAGCGATCAAGCCAGATGGCGTTTTCTTAAAAACCTGGTCTCTTATCAGAGTCATTGCGGCTTATATTCTTAGTTTGTTGATTCCTGTAAGTCAGAGTGAAGTGTTAATTACATTAGCATTTATTTTGTGTTAATTTAGGCACGTGTAAGATATCTCTCGTGTCTCGGTACGTTAAGCCATCGGTCCCGGTTATCATAACAATTTTGTGGTGGTAGTCGATAAAGATTGCGAACAACGCGACATTGGAGCAAACCTTTAAACCTTACTTTCTATAACAGACATGAGTCCAGTTGTGCGACATAAATATCTCATGTGATATCCTATTATTTATTTTGAAACGTCTGTAAAAAAGACAGATATGCGTTTCACTTGATTAGTAAAAAGCCGTTCACGGCACAGTCAACGATACGGTTTTAACTTTGTTGTTTACTGAAATAATATAACAGCAACATAACTGTATTTGGGTTTAAGTATAAATTACAAAGCATGCGTTCCAAGATGTCTGTTCATTATAAAGGTATAATGAAACATAGAACATAATTTCAAATTTTCTTGAGGATAACATGACGAATATATAGTAGTAAGGCGAGTAGTAAAGATTTAAATAAAACACTTTAACGCGAAATATATTAGTTAATGTGTTAAAACAATATTTTAACCACGGCCCGCGTTTCGGATGCTTCGCAGTATACGTGGCAACAGGGAGATTATATTGCTATTAATAAATGTTTAATGTTCCTAGCATCAATCGAATAATCTGAATGTCTAGACATTGGTTGTAAGATGTTTTAAAAATTTCTATTTGACAAACCCGCTGAAACCAGTAGTAATCGAATCAATTAGTTATTAGAACTGCTACCACTGAACTTTGAGCTTATGATTGCGTTGTGTGCTTGTGAACTTGTGAGGATCTGTAAATAATTTTCTTCTTTTTCAGATAGTGGTGTCCATGGCTCCAGCATGTGGAATATTCAATATCGCAATTGTAGTTATAGAAGCCTTTTGCTATATTGACATCTATCTTATGCTTCACGTAGCATATTATGGATCAAAGAACCAACTGATTTATCATCCGTATTTGACTGCAAAGAATTACTTAACAGTGAGTAAACTTAGTTCCTTGTAACTAAGTATGGTATTATTAAAAACTATGTAAATATACACGGACAGCACTGTAGTATAAAAAAGTAACTTGAATAAGGGGAAATTATAATACACTCCAAATTTTGCATTAGTGGAGTCAGATATGTTGGTAAGTGATTCGCAGCCAGCTCCAAGTCAATTCGGATTTATAATAAATGCTAAAATTATTAGAAAAATAGAACAAGAGACTTGAGACATTATATTTCTTAATTTTGCTTTTATATTGAATTGATGATGGAAGCGAAATAATTATTGTATTAATTAATTTTGCTTCCTATTCGATACAGATTATGCAAAACGATTTTCTTTTCTATCTAATTTCCAGAGATCTTTCGTAATAGATTTACTAACATGCTTTCCCTGGTACTTGTTTTGGAAGCTTTTTATCCCAAAGCATAACGAAAACCACACAGATGAAGACCATAATGTGAATCCGCATCTATACCACTGTATTCTAAGAATGGTCAATATTCTGCAGATTTATAAGCTGTACGCTGTATTCTGGGCAGAATCAATTGGTGCTTTAAAGAGGGTCGGTACCGCATTTTTAAAGATCGATAGCAAAATAATGGTTCTTTTGCATTTTAGACATAATAAGTAACGTTAGTAGAGTAATTGATAAATTTGGTATTTGTAGTCGTTGTCATGGTGGACCGCCGACAGTATAAATAATACTCAAATTAATAAATTATTTTTTTAATTTAAATATATTATTAATAATTCTTTTTTGTCTTTAATTACCTATACTTCTAGCGGCCCGCCATCATTTCATGAATTGCCCGAGAGGCCCCTAGTCTTAATAAGTCTGTGGATCCCAGCATTAGGGCATAGTGTAGTTGCCACATTAAAAAAATGCTATCATAGAAAGTAATATAATAAGCGCTTCGAGGTGGTCGGACTTGAAACGCAGTAATCAAAAAATTAACAGATTCACAGAGTCACAGTGTTAATTTGGGTAACATCACCTAATAATCGAAGAATATAAAAAAGTATTACTTGATATTCAAATATGAATAAAGTCATGGACCTTATGCGAGTAAATATAACAGTTTAAAACTCGAAATATATTGGTCCGGATGTTACAGCCGTACTTTTACGTTTTCAAAACTTAAATATTATCTTTATATGCGTCATGTAGTATATACACATCCTTAACTTATTATTGATTCTTATCCTAAAAGTATTAAATATTTTCCTTTTGTTTCTTTTCAGGCATATTTGATGAGTGTGGTGCAATTTCTTCTCTTGACATTGTTCTTCTTGAACTTATACGCTTCAATTCTGATAACCATCTCCTGTCGCTTCATAGTAGCATACGACCAGGATGACTTTGAAAGGAGACTGGAGAATCTTGGGGGCCCTTTTATGGACACTGTGTTTAACCCTGGAGGAAACATGGTTTGCAACTTAGGTAGAAATGTATGCTTTTTGAAATTAAATTATGTATGCAACTTTTGAGGCGTTAAGGTGGAAAATGAAAGGATTTCTATCGCCACTATAAATCAGCAGTTGAACCATTTTCAACTACTGATTTATAGTGAGATAGAAGTGAGTGTAGTAGGGATAATATTCCCTATCATTTAAACATATTCCAGTAGATATTTTAGCTTAGGATTTTGATAATGACTGTTCACGTTAATATTACCACCACAACCCCACGATTTCTAGGCTCCTGGATAGACAGTGCAAATATATTCAAAGACCAATACCTAACGCCTAAAAAAGTGTATCTCTTAAGTTACTATTGGTCAGCGGCGAGTTTCACCGGCGCCGGCTTCGGTGACATCACGGCCCAAGACACCGCCCACATGCTCCTTTCAATTTGCATCAACATACATGGCGTTTTGTTTTTCGGGTGGGTCGATTTTAACTTCTCGCTTCTCCTTAATTGGTCATAGCTTAATATCACCGGTGACTCTTTTATAGCATTATACAGTCACGACTAGCTTCAATGTAAATAAGATACCGGCGTGGGCGCTGTTCACAGATACGTGTATGCGCGGATTGCATCCCTCAAAGCGATGGCCGATCAGGTCATAACGAAATTCCAAGAGAATTTGAAGCACATAGACCTATTTTTGACTAGAGAGAAGGTCCCGTTCGTGTTGAAGAAGTCAATCATCGATTACTGGAAATACCAGTGGAAAAGAACCGGCGGCTGGTCGGTGAGTTGAAATGAAGTTTAATATTCGGCGACGTTAACGAGCAGTATCATTTTAGCAATTACCGCAAAAACTTAACCCGTTATCCTTATAAAGCACCAGAAAATATTGGGTAAACTACATGCCAACTTAAATGAAGACGCCGTTTTGTACATGTACGAAAAGACGCTGCGCGAGATACCGTTATTCGAAGACGTCGAGTATTCGTTCTTCAGAGCTTTCGCTAAGAAGTTGCGCGAACGGTATTTTCAAAAAGGCTGCATGATAATGAGATCTAATGAGGTCATCAAGAATATGTACATCATATATCGCGGGAAGGTTATTTTGAATTTCTTTATCTGATAATGCCATAGTGCAGCCTGTTTTAGTGTATTTTTGCAGCTTTTAAAATATCCATTTAAGCTAAAATATCTGGCCAGTAAATAAATATTAAGTTTGCGGAGATATAGAAAAATATATAATATATGTACTTCGATTACTCTTGTAGTACATATTTTTTAGTTATTCTTTAGTAAATAATTCTTCTAATTTTTTTATATATATTTATAAATATAGATCCAAAGCCTTACATTACAGCCATACAACTTAATTATCTTCTAGTTACTACTACGATCTTATCTACTATACGGTTTAAAATATCTATTTTCTGGGATATAGTCACTTATCAATGACTTTTTTATAAAAATGTAAATAGATCTAGACTATATAAGTTCATATACGATTATGTGATACGATATGATTTCATATAAAATACCTATCTACCTAAAATATAACTAACAGGTCGACATCATCACCGAAGATAACGAAGTAGAGGCGTGCATGGGTCCTGGTGGAATATTTGGAAATATTAAGGGAGCATCGAAGTATCTAACAATGTCAAACGTATATGCCTCAAGAAATTTAGATCTACTATACATTGAAGGACATGAATTCTTTACACTATTAAAGGTAGACAAACTACAACATTTTCAATACTGATATTATAGAGAAAACATAAAATATTATGTTAGCTTTAGTTATATCCGAATTGTGTGTTAAGAAAACAAGTTACAACTGAAGGGATTATTATGGATGAATTTCTTACAAATATTTTATTTTAATATTGACTCGTCAATTTTATAGTTTATATTAAAAGTTTCATATAACCTATTTGTATTCTTTGGTTTAGATAAGAAATACACATAAATAAAATAATTATAACAGTTTTAAATAAAAGTATTTTACGGTTTAAACATAGCGTTAAGCGCAAAGTCCTGGGTTCAAATCCCAGGAAAACAATATAGTTGCGGTCGGGCAGGGCACAGAAGTCTCAACTACTTACGTATAAATACAACGAATCACGAAAGAAACGAACATAGAACTGTGTTTGTCCCATGACCCATGGGGGAATTTTACTTTTAATTACAGTACTTAGTAGCCTATAGGTTATGCTATACACCTATGTTACGTAAACACACGTTATCTCCTTTCAGAGCTATCCAACAGTCTTAAGAAAGGTGAAATACTCAGTAGACTCAGCGCCCAAGGATTACGTTCTACCAACAATATTATCAGCCAGAACGAGTCGAGAGGTTAATAAATATTTGAATGCGAGTACTGGAAAGCATTAAATACAGATAATATTATATTTATATTTCAGCTTGAAACATTTCCGCTGACATACGAAGTGGACGAGGAGGACGAGAATGATGAAATTGAACCAAATATATTCTTAGAAGTTAGTTGTTTTACAAGAGATATTCAACGCAGATCGTTTCTCTTAACTGACGTTAACTTTCATGTGTAGTTGATGAGATTTTTACAGACTTACCAACTGAAGTAAGACTATAAAAATTTCACATTATAATGGTAATGTACTAACTAGTTTTATAACGATAAATTTAAATGCAAAAAAAATGACTGTAGTTTCAAGGGCTAGCTATTGTGTTCTATATAACATTGATGTAAGTTCAAATTTAAATAATAATTAAATAACGATATATAATAAAACACCTTCACGATCAATAACGCGAAATATATTGGATAAACTTATTTACAAAATAGTTTAATAACGGCTCGACGTTTCTGATGCTTTGTAGCCGTGGTTACGGGGAGACTGAAGATGGAGGGTATCTTTAATGTCAAAGGAAAAGCTGTTACGCTAGCGCCATATGTCGTAGTTGGTATATAGCGATATTCAAATAATTTGTAAATAAGTTCGTTAAAGCGTTTTATTAAAATTCACTTACATCAATGTTATAGAACGCAATAGCTTCGACCGATAATCGAAGGTGCGATCTGAATCCTAATGAAATTTGTTTGTTACCGACAGTCTGTCAACCTAATTGTCATTCATGGGCAAGTGACACTCACGATTATGTATTATATTTGAGATTAGTAAACACACACAGTAACCGGTCCATGTTAGGTACATATGATTGGTGTAACGCTACTCAATGTGGAATTATTTCGCCAGAGCCCGGACAAAAGTATCGCAGAATCACACGGATCACGGTCCATTGCGTCAGGGTACAGCGGGGATTATATTTCGGCTATCACTTTGATATGTATGCCGCACAGGTAAACGTGAAACAAATTGATGTTAGAAAAACAGAAACAAGCCAAGTTATAGAGCTTAAGATATATACGTAAAAATAAATCTTATTATTCTTAATAATAATTTCATAACGTGCTACATGGCGTGCAGACAAACTAAATAAGGTTTGAAGCATGTAGCGTTGGCTTGGCTTACTTATTGGATAAGTATATATTCATAAACGATAAAGTAATTAATGGTAGGTGAAATTCCGTTTCCCCCGAGAGGCATGGGGTTCCTTTACAGTAGTTGATCAGACTATTGGACCCTGGCCGACCTAAACATCGTATTGCTCCCGTGGGATTCCAACCCATGACCTCTCGCGCTTGTCGCACTGTTATGCAGCCATGTGGCATACAATCGGAAAATAAATAATAATTATAACGATTTTGACTGGATTCCAATCCCCAACCATTGTTGGATATTCTTCTTTATTCCTAAGAGTTGCAATAAAATGTCTATATGTTCAATAGAAAAGTTGAAATAGTAAAATGTGTCTTCTTATACTTTATATAATGTAGTTAGGATTCATATGTCCTATTATAATAGGTATCGACTTTAAGAACCTCAACAAACTCAGTGAAAGCTAATAAAGATATTAATATTACTGTTAAAAAAAGATATTATAATAACCTGAAGATTTCATCACTTGTTTGCAGCACATAATATAATTAAAAAAACCTTTTTTATCCGAATAAAAAAATATTGGAAACTTCAAAGTTAGTCGAATTTACCTACACGACGAAATGAGTTTACAGTTTCCGCCACGGCTGTTATAAAACTATTTTTATAAGCCAAATAAAATTGTCCACAGGTGGTTCCGGGGCAGCGTAATTCCAGACAGTAAATGGGTTACTTTTATAGGTTTGTGACTTGTTAGAATAAACGTTAACATAAATGAAATCAGTGTTACAACAAACAATATGAAAGACTTCTATTCTACCCCTGTCTTTATTATAGCAAAAACTTATAACTATTAATTAAAAAAATAATTTTAATGGTTATATCAGATACCAGACTTTTTATAGTGTCATAGACAAGTTAATAAAATAAATTTAAAACCGTTTGTTACGACGTAGGAAGCAAATCAGTTTAACCTAATTACGTCCCACTCTTGGCCCTGCCCCACAATGAACAACGATTACGGTTTTTAAAGCTTAAGAATCTCGTAGCCGATGACTTAGTGGACTTGTCACTGCTGCGTTGACGTACCACTTCTAAAAACTAAAAAAAATCTAAGACTTTCTAGAACCTAAATATCGTACTAACAATCTGCACTGCCGAAATTCAAATCCTAGATCTAATGATCTACAGTTGACGGAACTAAGCATCTTGGTATAGCCAAGAGCAGATGTACGCTCGTAATGCAGAACAAGTTGGAAATATTAATATTACATTTCAGATTACTTAATTTTAACAATCGCATACGCAGACTTCATGATATTGATATACCAAATGGCCTTCTTGTCGAATGCTTATTTCTTTCACATCTGTGTTGTGTGCGATGCTATATTCTTGTATAAGACGTTCCTGGACGCTCACAGTGGTTACATGAATCGTTATGGCGAGTACATATTGAATCCTAAGAAAGTTCGAAAAATGTGAGTAACTTTTTTATGAATTCATGCACTTACTGAATATTTACTACCGTTGCTTCGCTCCCAAGTTATACATAGTGTCATATGCCGGAGTAAAAGAGATTTTGGTACGACTATATCAAAATATATCAAGCCATTTGGGCATTAACATCTGTACATCCTCACGAGCTTATTTTATATACTATGTAATATAAAATATTAGCATTGACTTGTCTATACTTTCGTATAAATGTTGTTTTTGTAACTGTGGCATCCTGTTTTTTTAATTAAAAGTCATTTGGATTGCAAACGACACTACCAAGGCTCGAAATGATAGCGTGTTGCATGTAACTCGTTCCAACAGTAATATAACATAAGAAGAATTATATTTGGGTTTTCGAACTAATCGGTTATCGTGATTAAGAAATGGTTCTCGACGTATCGTCACCATAAGCAATTGCGATCGTGAAAAGATTTTGCACTTTTCTTAAAAAAGAGAAGACTGATCGAGGAACGCGCAGCAATACGATCCACTCGTAACGTCGAAACACTGAGACATATTCTTAAATTACTAGTGGGCCGAGTGGTCCCAAAACCATGCTTATACAATATATAATGTTTTAGGTACTTCTCGAAAGTTTATCTTCGTAGACGAGACTTCTTAGCCAACCTTCCAATATCATACTTAGCCTTCGCAGTGAATCTTAATCCGGGGGTACAAAATGCCCTCTTCTGCTACCTCAGAACACCGCAGCTGTTCCGAATAACATATTTGTTCACCTACCGCCAGCATAGAAAAATCAGTATCGGCTCCGCCAATTTACTACTGAAGTTAACGTGAGTTACGTAAAATTAAAAATATTGACAAATAACATCGCCCACACGATAACGTAGATGGCTCGCAATGAGTCAGATCTATAAATGTTAAAGGCAAAGCTACACAAGACATTTCGCAATAGTTCAAATAATATTGGTTATTAGTGTATTACATAGTTCCTAGTACAATATAGTGGTAATAGTACACGAGTTAGTAGGTTCTTATCTTGGAAGAACAGAAAAATTTATTTCAGACAGGTGCAATTAACATTTTTCTCTGTATAAATTTAGATTATCTAGATTTTTCAGGTATTTGTGAGTACCATATTCGTTTTAACTCAATATTGAATGGCGCATAGGAATAGGGTTGAAGGCTTAGACCAGCCACGCTGGTACAAACTGGTTGGTAGATTGATAGAAATAAACAATTCTTTTTATTACCATAAGACACCGAATAACTTATAACAGTTATTACTAAGCATAGAAGTATTTTTTAATCTAAACAGAATATTAATAAAATTGTATGTTGCAAGTTAGACTGAAGCTGATGTGATTTTGTATGATGCACGCAAGTGGAACGCAAGAAAATGAGAAATAAAAATACCAAGACATACATCATTTCTGAACAAAAAGTTAAGCTATAAGTGGTCTAACCGCTGTTGTTTTTGAAAAAAAAATGGCACACTCAACAATTCGATCCACTTTCAATTCACAACATACTGTTTAGATCGGACGGGAAAACCTTTAGGACATGTATCCTTCGACCCGAGTACCTACATTATACAAATGAACGTATGTTTTTCCACGTTTAAAGATGTTTTTCCACACAGGACAATCGCCATATGGGCATCGATCCTATCTCATGTAAACGCGTGCTTGTTTTTCAAATTGTCTTGCCTAACACCTGTTCACTGCACGTCCTCAAACTGGATGTCGAAGCCGGAACTAAATCTACGGGCTAAATATGCAGAGGTATTTACATAAATAAGATAACACGTTCAAGTACAGCGCAGCCCGGTCGTAAATCACTTGATTTTTCACACGATGACATTATATAAATTAAAAATCGATTTTAGATCGAAACGATTTCCTAATTGATTCGACCATAGCAACAACGCGAAACATTGTGGTTTCGTAAATTGTTTTCACTCTAAAATCGATGTTTACTTATCTCTTATTCAATAAAATGTATTGTATAGAGAGTATTATAATATTTATAATTAATTAAGTAAGGTATCTTAAGTGTGTGTTTGTTCTTCAAGTAATCCATTGTAATATATTAATAATTACAAAACAATTTAATAAGTAGAAAACTTTAGGCTTGGGACAAACCATTTGTCTGTTGTGCTGATCAAATTTATCTGCAAGTGTTGATCAGATTGTCTATAATAAATACACATCTATTTTTGTTTTTTTTTTGGAGTAGCAAAATGAAGATAAATCAATGGTTACGTAGAATAGCTCCCTTGTTAACTGAAACTATGAATCTGTCATTTAAAAGAATATGAGATATGCTAAGCCCAGCCTTGCAATAGTTTTAGATCTAAATTGGTCATGTCTTTTACAGAAAAACTATTTTCCCTTATATATCGCATCCCTTTGGTACATCATCAACTTGATTACAATTACGGGAACAGGCGACGTGTCGTCCCAAAATGATTTTGAAGTTATCGAGACTGTAATAATTACTATTGTTATTAAATTCTGCACAGGTATAAACTAACACAATATATATTGGTTTAATATCTAGCCGAACATAAAGAAGACACATTGACAGGCCAGTTTGTGCAATGGTAGCAATGTATTGGTAATAATCAAAGAGCCGTGGTTCGATTCCCATCGGGTCAAACAATTTTCTAATCTATTTATTTTCTTCAAAAATTGTTGGATTAAGTTAGAAACAAAATAAAGAAATTAATAATGGTCAACCCATAGTAAAAACTCTAAAGTTTAAAGGGGGGGGGGGGGGGGGGGGTGGGGGGGTTGCCGAATAAAAAAAGGAAAGGGGGGGCGGCGGCCCATCTTGTTTAGGTGTTATATGGCAGCGGACTATATTAAGTGCGCCTCATGCATGCTTATGTGCTCCTCCATAGGTGCTAAATAAAAAATGTGTTTAAGTTATAAACAAAAACACAATAAAGAAATTAATATGAACCCATAGGTTCTGCACCCCTGCAGACTTGTCATTTTAGGTCTTCTAATATCAGAAATGTCAGCATTAATAACAGCTCATTCTTCGTCACGCATCGCGTATGACGAAGGAATTAACGAGTTGAGAGATGGCTTGCGAGATACCGACTTGAGTGACCATCAGATGAATAAAATGTGGGATTATGTTCGTGAACTCTGGAGTAGACAACAAGGGAGACAGGTTTGTTATATATGAGGCTGCTAGAGGCAGAGTGGCCTAATAACTAAAAAATGATTTTCAATAAGGAAGAACAAAAATGCGCAATTAATTTAAGCGAATATGAATTTGTACTATTATTTGGGTAAAAATTATGTTAACAATTTTCGGTCACTGTGCATCTATAGATTAAAATTTGTAGACTATTAAAATATAAATAAGTAAAATTGCAGTTAGGCTATTCTGCCTCTAGGCTCATATATAAAGTACTATGAAGACTGATTAGCTTTTTTGAAAAAGAGCTTGTACAACTAAGTTGAGCTAACCTGAGTATAACTGTGCTAAAAGTATACAAATTATTTATTACTATTTTTTTGTATTACCAAATTGCCGATAGCTTGTTGTTAGTGAAAAACCTAGAAAGCATGGAGCTTTATAAACAGACAAAAATCTGAGCTGTAGCTTGCTCCATTTTCTAAGCTTATAGCATATCTAGTAGGACAAGTAGCTTGGAAAATAATTTATAATAGAGATTTAAGTTATTATAGTTTAATTTTCTAGATGCCAAAACTGGTCACAAAACTGCCGTTTCGCCTACGCTGTCAAGTGATGCAGGCAGTGTATGGGAGTCACATTCGGGAATCGGTGATATTCAGTAAAACGGATGACGATTTTAAAAGGATGCTATGTATGTGGTTACGGCACTGTGTATTTTTCCCTGGAAATTATATTGTGCAATGTGGAGACGCAGATCAATGCATTTATTTCATACATAGAGGAGAGGTATATGAATTATAACTTATAGGTATTTTATAAAGTTTTCGCGGCCATTTTACATAGCTTTTTAGGAGATCGAGCTTTTCGGCGGTAAATTACTTCTTTCCATCACAAAATTTTCAACAGGACTGCCGAATAAATAAAAAATCCAAGAAGCTTAACTATTCAGTTTTGTTGCACACACATTGACTATATGTGTAAGAATAGACAATGTACATTAGGCTTTTAAAGGTTTTATAAGTAAATCTTATACATGTAGGTTAAAAAAGGTGGCTAAATATATTTTTTTATTACTACATGCATATTTTCACAAAAATATTAATACAAATAAGAAGGGCCTCAACTAAAATATTTTAATAACTCATTACGAAAGAAATTAATGGATAATAGCTTAGTTTTCAAATTTTAAGGTCGAAGTGCTCACCGTCCATCCAAATTTGACAGAATCTATTTATGATATTCTGGGCCCCGAAGATTGCTTTGGTGTTGCACAGGTGAGAATAATTTTAGCTTTAAGCCTGTATAACATTAATACTAATATTATAAAGCTAAATATTTTGTTTGTACGCACTAATCTCGGGAACTACTGGTTCAAATTGAAATTGAATTTTGTGTTAGTAGGCCACTGCCATAGCTGAAGGCTAAAAAAACATGCTGCGACGGATGAAACGGAGAAAATTATTTAATTACAAATAAATAATATGATGCCCAAACTAACTATTGACAAATTAATACTATATATAATAACTAGCTAAGTATATAATCTTTAATCAATTTAACCCAGATAAGCCTAAACTAAAATTTTCTAAAATTTTGAAAAAAAGTTATATTATTTAGTTTATTAGATCTTATGCAACATAAAAAAAATTATGAAAAAAAAATTAAGTGTAAGGCTTTAGGGAAAAGCCGTCCATATAGGACAGTAGGATAATAAGAGGAAATAAAAACCATTTATGACAAAAAGAATTAATAAAAAGTGATTTATTAGATAACTATTGATATATTAACATTGTTATATGTAATTATAGATTACAAATTTATGAATGATATTTTAAAACACTTGACAAACTCCAAATCACATTTCTTGCAACTTTCAAAATTTTTTGTGACATTGACGAAAGTGTTCGATTGAGGAATAACCAGATGATTCATTTGGTCTTTACGACTATCAGCATGTTATGATGGGAGGGTCGGTAGGCCCTTTTTGGCATTTTTTCTGTTTGATTCAATCAAAGCAATTGCTACCCTTCTGCGAAAGCCAAGATGATCCAGCTTTCCATGATTTATTTTATATAACTGCCATGCATTATGTTCGGCAAGATCAATCATGTGTGTGAGCAACGGCATGTACCATTTCTTACCTCGTATACCAATTCGGTAATGTTAAATATTTTCATCAGACCGATCCACTCCTCCCATATATTTGTTATTGATGGAAAATGTGTTCTTCTATGACAATGTTTCTCTTCTCCATGTAGGTAGCTAGTTTAGTTGACCTGTAGAATAGAAGGTTCTTCTTCTGTATCACTCACCATAATCTGCCCTTGAATCATTATTAGGGTTGAAGAGAATGTTTCGTGGCAAATTATTCAAAGTTAATTATCTTCTTCACCCGAATCTTCTAGTGAGACAGTCAGAATCAACAGGAGGAGGTAGAATACATATCAGTCTTCTTATAATCTTCTTATTATCAGAAACATTTTCTAAAGCATCTAAAATTTCATGCGCAGCTAACGGTCTGTAAAGAAAAAGTTGTCTTATTGTACTAAAATCATGTACATATTATCCTACTGTCCTATATATAGTACGCTAGTATTTGTAACAAGTTATACGTAATTTATTTATATTATTTTGCTAGAATATTTATTTAGTACAAAAGTTAAGGTTATCAACTAGATATTAACACAGAAAAAAACAACTCACGAGTAAAATATAACTTTTTATACATACCTGTCATTTGCCATGTCTGCAACGCACTTTTATTACACACTTATAAGGTAAAATATAAGGTAAAAACTTTAAAATAACTTCTTTTTATTTTTTCTAATAAAGCTGATACGTTTCTTATGCAAATCATAAGACTAAATAATCTTAGATAAAGAGGGTATTCTGATATTTTTTTATTTCTACTGTTAAATATAGGACAGTAGGCTTATTGGTTAAGGGTTCTACTTGGCTTCTTTAATTTTATTCTAAACAGGGTCTATTTGTCGGAGTGGCACACCACTTCTCATTCAGGGCCCGTACTGTAGTCGACATCGTCTACTTAAAATTAGACGAATGGAAATATCTGCTCGACTTTTACCCCAAGTCAGCGAAGCTAGTGCGCCGAAAAGTGGAAAATGTTTATTTAGCTATTTAGTGCTATGTTTCACCTAGTTTAGTATCGTTATTAATAAAGTAAATTGAGAAAGAACGATTGTATGCCTTTAACGCCTTTGAAACCTCGTTAGTTTAAATTATCTCGTCTGTGAGTTTACTACACAAGTAGTACACGTTAAAAGTAAACACCCCCTTAACGGTTTAGAACATATTTTTTTTAAAATTATTTTCTATTAATATATTTCACGTTTTAAACTGTTTCATGTAAACTTTTGAACTTCAATAAAATCAATCAAAATTGTAATTGCCAAATACCACACCTCAATCTTCATTTTGTTACACACAAATTTATGAAATAAAATAAGAATTACAGAATTGTAATTTTTTAATAGGAATATAAAGTATCTCTTGCAACACAATTTAAAAACCCATCAATAATCAACTATTAATTCTCTTACGTTTCCTCGATACGCGCTGAGAGATTTCTGGTATTATATCTTGGCTTGGGATCTCTTGTGTCAGTTCGTCTGAATTCTCGTATGACATTCCTGTATCATCGGTTTCATCCTGCGGAGCTGGTACTAGCTGACTCTGTGATAATCTGGAACTGAAAATATTATGCTTCTTAATTTTGGACGATACTTTTAAATAAAACATTTAATATAATACGTAATCAATAATAAAAATGTTTAACTAATATACTAATTCATTTTTTCCAATATGAACAGCACTTTATACAGATAAGTTTTAGTAACTAGAAGCATTATCTTAAATCAGAGAAATTAAGAATACATAAGAAATATTCAAGTTCAAAGCGATAGTTCTGAAAGAGTAGCATAAAAATGTTTAAAAAAAAAATCTAAATATTCAATGTCGTTCGAGCCCACTGCCCTCTCTCGTCGAGTTACTTACTCGATGCGCGGCGTGGCGGCCACCACCGGCATGCATTTTTTTTTAATTTCATGATATCTATTGAATGGAATGTCCGATTTCAATAATTAAAAAAGTAATCATCAGGTATTGAGACAATCTTGAATATTAAATTATTTATTTGGATAAAAATTTATAAATGGTATGGATAACACGGTCTGATTTTCATCGGAATTTCTAATAATTTGTTAAATGTAAGAAAGTAGTTATAGCCACGTAACTACAATATTTAGATTTTTTTTACGCCTTCTGTTGGTGTTAGTAAGAATTTCTATAGATGTCTATAGTAATCAAGTACTAAGGAAAAAATAATTATTAAAATCGGTCCAGTATTTTCTGAGTTTATCCGTTACATACAAAAATACAAATCTTTCCTCTTTATAATATTAGTATAGATATATGTACATATAAGTACTCTGAATTACAAATCATACTTCATTTTTGTATTTCAAATTTAGTAAATTAAACAATAGGCGTGTACGCATCAAGCACAATAGTGATGGTGCGTACAAGTTGTAACTTGTTCAATCATGCATTAGCGAATACAAAATATGTATTCAATACAATAGACCATCGGATTACAGGGGGTACCGAATTACCGGGGGTCCACTGTATATAAATATAAGGAAATAATAGAAGGTTGAAAACCATTTTTTTACTGCTTCCCGTATCGTAAATTTTCTTCAATCTATAATCGATTTTTAGTGAAAACTACATATACATGCAACTAAGCAACTCAATATTAAATATTTACCATAATATACAAATATGAATAGAAACCACAACTTTACTTATAGCAATACTGTTGTAGTAAGTAAGAGCTATCTCAAATGTTATATCAGACCAAATAGGAAAGAAGGTACAAAAAGCTACTAACAGATGCCGCTATTTCAAAAAATCCCCACCTTTGAGACAACATCCTTTCCAATTGGTCCGGGCTGTAGTCAATCTTGCAACAAGGCCATTTCTGCATTCTTTCTGTGTATTTATTTAGACATCGAGTGTGTACAGCTTTCCCACAACTAATGCAGTTATAACCCTGGAAACATGTTATAATCCCCAGTTAGACCAAACGTTAATGTAACTTAAAAAGTAATACACATTAAGTACCAAGTAGATACACTTAGACATAAGTTTATTTTTGAGCTTGAAAATTTTTTTTTACTTTGTTTTGCTGCACTGCACATATTTGATATGAAATTACAAGTAAGTTATAGCTTAATTAAGATATTTGATACTTCTACAAAAATTTAGTGTGGTATTACAATTTGATAACGCAGAAGAGACACATTTCTGTGCTTGTTGCCCAAAACAATGCAATGTACCGATGAATTTTTGACCATTCTTGTCAACCCTGCACTTTATTGTGATATAAAAGGTAAAGTTTAAGGAGAAATATGCACTTTAGAAATCATATAAATAAAAATACAGCCCTACCCTAAAAACAATTTGTTTGCACAAGCAACATTCATCAATAGCGTCTGGCATGTTCTCTCTTAGGTAACCATCAAACTCCTGAATTGTCCTCACTCCAAGTACGTAATTTCTGTCTTCTTTTTCTAAATACCTCATTCTGCACCATGTGTCCAATATTTTCTGAAATATTATACAATACAACACTAGTTAAGTAATTAAACAAAATACTGTAAAAGTTGTGAGTGAAGTCCTGCTTCCCCATTATAGGGTATGGAACTAACAGATGGGAAATGTTTATTTGATAATTATTTTTGGTAGAGTAGATCTAAATTCAATGAATTGTCAAACTCATTAAATATACAGGGTGTAATTGGAACAGTGCTGAAAACTTATATGGTGCTATTTATTTTAAAACATAAAATCTTTTTGAAATAAATGAAAATAAACAGCACCATATAACACTTTTTAGCCCCTATAACATATTATAGAAAACTATATATCGACCGTTTTCTGTGTCCGACATCTTGTATGTCTAACTTAATGCCAAACAAAATGTTTACACACTCAACTGTGAAGGATAATCTGTTCTACTTCTATTCTAAAAATACTATGTTCAATAAAATTATAATAATGTAGTAAACTACTTGACTTAAACATATACCTGAGCAGCTGTTTTTGTGTATGCTGACTTCATATTACCAACCAAATTTAAAGCATAGATCCCAGTGATCTGACGATTCTCCGTTGACATAATCTGTTCAATAAGAACTCTGAAGTACTCCAATTCTGAAGCAGGAAATAGATTTTGGGATTTAGTAGCCTCGTCAAATCCAAGCGATATAAATACAATCACATCCTCTCCACTTGTTTCATCATGTGTAATTTTGAGAACTTGCTTTATATTCTTGATTTCTTTATTAATTTGATTCACTAATTCTGGAATGGAAACTTCTTCATTTTCTGAAAAAGGAGGATTCACTTTTACAGAAGAGTAGAAAATCATATTAATGGTGACAAAAACAATTTATAGAAGTACTAATATTTTTATAGAAGTATTACACTTTTATTACATTAATTATATTTATAGAAGGTCATGACGGGTCCGCAGTGTTTAGGATTTGTACTCCAAGAAAAAACTCACCGTGAACAATATTCTTTAAAGCTTTCTTAGCTTCTTGCACAGATATCACACCCAGACTAGCAACTGTTCGTAACAGATATCGATGGATACTTCCGTAACTTGGAGCCATATTCGAATATAGTTATTTCTTCTAATAGTCCTAAACATTGAAAATGTGTCTTATCGTATTGAAAGTTTTTTGAACAACACAACACTAGTAATCAATATGTAGATTATTTATTGCTTTGCAAACTAGTTCTAAAATGCACTAGCTATCCTTAATATTTGCAGAAATTAATGTAAATAATCAGATATAAGATTTTCGACACTCCATTTATAAATACAGCGAAATTTAAATAGCATTTCAAATTTAAAACTATCTTAATTGTCAAATTATCGCCATCTGTCAATGTCGATACTGCTGTCTTGGTTGTCACAATCAAAGCTTTCACATAAAGAGATCGATGATAAAAGTAATCGATTACCGTCCTTTACAATAATATATTAAGATTAAAGCATTAAATTCTGCATTTATTTATTAAAAAATATGTATTAATTCTATACATATTTTTTGTTTGTTTTGTAGAGAATTAAAAAAAATATACAAATAAAAAGGGTTAAATCAAAACGAACAAATTAAAAGCGTATACAAATTTTTATAAGTTCTAATAATGTAAGATTTTAAAACGGTGACGCTTATAAATTGTTTTGTCTTAGACTAATAATTCGTCGCGGAGACCAATTTTCCTACTTGTTGAACCGCGTCTCAAAATAAAATTTGTGCTCATTATTTTAAAATCTGTCATCTGCAAATAAAACCAATAGGATACAATAATTTAAAAGAAGAAAGCTATCACAAACACTACTGCAATTAAAGCGGTTCGTGTAATTGAACGTCGCAGTCGATCGGCTGTGACATTAGGAAAAATGTGGCTTGAGACTTTAGAAAACTTTTAGAAATGAACAAAATTAGTGAAAAGTTAAATATTCTGGTCAAAGATAGGTGCAAAAGTTAATTGTAAATTTTTGATTCCTAAAATTAGTTCTTAGTGATTTTTATTTGTTGGGATCCAAAACATTATTTTCTTTTTATAAAACATGTAATATAGCTATGAAACAAATTTATAAAAATAAGGAGCCTTTGCCTATTATTTCTTTAGTAATGACGATTACATATATAAACTGAATTATAACTAATGGATGTGTAATCCTTACATAATCTAGGTAACGAGTGAATCCCTTAAGTCCTGAAAAGGTTGATTAAAAGTTTTTCTCCTGCTCTTATGGACATAACTTCAGTGTTCAGACGCAGCATGGATCAATTAGGAACCTAATTACAACTGCTTCGTACCTTAATTGTCGCGTCCTGTGTTCCGAACGAGGTTCTCTTATCAATTATAGGACTTTCCCAGTAAAACGACCGCATCCTATCCCAAGCTGTAAACTTTGAACCCATTTCGTGCACCTACGGACTTACGTAATACGCACACAATCACAAGTAGATTATAGATGTATAGTAAAAAAGGGTGGGGTAGGCTGTGGGGAAGGAGTGACCTAATGAGAATCAACCTAGACTAAATTACCTATATACTCTAATATGGTAGCAACACCTTGCCAGCAAAAATACATTTTTTATCCAATTGATTTCACTTAGAAAAAAGTAGATTCTTGATTCGATTCGTATATATGCTTTTTATTTAATATACTTTTGAATCCGGAGCCACGTAAAACTGGATAACTGTCTATATAATAGATTATCAGCATTTCTAAAAACTCATTTTCAAATAATTTATTCCACACCAAAGAATATTGTAACAATAAATAAATTATACATATAAAAAAGAAACAATATACTGATGTTTACTATTATTAATATATAATTGTTTACGTTACATACATTAAGCTTGCTGTTGACATCGATCAGCTGTTGCTGCAACATTTGTTGTTGCAGCGTCGATTTTGAGTAATCCATAGATGCCACTTACAATGACAGCCAGAAATGATAAGGGAGCTAATAAGGAGGAGGCAAAAGTATGAATTTAAAATAAACTACTATACAAAAAAAAACATCTCTCTAGTTTATTCTATGAAGTTGGTTATTTTTAAAAAAAAACACTTGTTAAACCTAACGGTTATTTTTAAATAAAACACTTTAACAAGTGTTTTATTTAAAAATAACCGTTAGGTTTAAAAGGCGATATTGCAGTTAAACTTATTTGAAAATGATTTTTAAATTCGGCCCGACGTTTCGAATGCTTTGCAGCAGCCGTGGTCACGGGGAGACCTTTAAAAATCATTTTCAAATAAGTTTAACTAATTTAAAAATCGAAAATAAATTGAAAAATTTTTTCGACTCGGGCAGGACTTGAACCGGCATCGTTAGCGTTCCGTGCTATTGCTCTACCAATTGAGCTACCGAGTCCTACACCTGATTGTCGACCTGATACTCGGTAATACAATACAATTTATTTTCGATTTTTTAATTATATAGAGCCTTCATGTGCAATAACATGTGAAAAATATTAATGTTTTCAAAGTTTAACTAATATATCGCGTTAAAGTATTTTATTTAAATGTGAACTACTTGCAAAAACTATAGACAGTATTTGTTATTTTTAATAAAAATATTTTGACATGATCGCTTAGATTATAAATACCATTTGGTAAGAACTTGATTCCTCCGAGTAAAAAAAATACATACCATTTAATTAAGAAATATAAACGGTCATTCATTAAACCCCGAAGAATGAACTACAACTTCGAAGTAGGAATTCGAGAATAAATTCATTAGATTTCAGTACCCACGCATGCTGTTAATAAAAGGCATAACTCGTTCCGTAAATTATCTAAGCGGAGCGCTTTCAAAACTTTTAATGGAGTCAATTTGGCTTCCCATTCAAAACACCTAACGTATGTAGAGGTAAGTAGAATTTATACAAACATATTTAGCGCAGAGCATTTCTCTGTTAACTTTCTATAAACAATTCAAGCTCAAACCCCTTCCTGCTTAGAATTTTATTTTGTTGTTTCCGAGTTCTAACATGCTCGACTTAACAAAGTTTAGTTCAGTGAAACACAAAACGATATAATACGAGAACTTTTTGCGAGCTACGTGCGTTTTTCCGTCTTTCACGTTAAAAAAAGGTGAAAAAGCAAAAAAATAACAGTATTTCTAGTCATATAATTTGAGGGTAGTTTTTAGTTACAATTACGAAACAATGCAGCACTAAGCTCGTAGATATTCTTCTCTTTAGTTTTTAGCTAGATAGAGAGAGAGAGACCAAAAAACAACATTTCAACACTCTCCTTCGAAACAGATGCGGAAAATGACGAAAAAAATAAAATGGCAGAATGCGCGAATATTTTATTGTCGCGAGCTTTGAAAAGATAGCAATAAAACGGGAGCTTGCGAAAAGTATTTTCCACATACTTTTCTATGAAATATATTCCGGTCCGGACGGAGCCACTGCATGTTTTAATCGAACTACAAAAAGAAGGAGCGCCGTGTACCGGCACGGGTATGTTTGAGCGTGTGCCAAATCGTAGTTAAAGTTTACCGCCACTGCTAGATGATTACACTACCCTCGAATCTTTTAAACTAGAACTTCTTAATAACTAGTACGTAGTTTGAGTTTAAAGCTTTTGAACGCGAGCTTAATTGGAGTTAAGTTCGTATTAGGAATAAATGCTATATAGGAGCTTTTATATTGAAAGAAGACAAACAAGCAAGGGGTTTACTTGACGGAAAGTAAAGTACCCCATATACTGTACCACCCCATACCTCATTAACAACACCGTAGCCAAAAAACACCTCAACAAGAAGCGCTGTATTTCCGAATATCCAAAACCAAAAGTGTTTTCGGAAATCCACATAATGAAACCGAAACGCGATTAAATTTATTTAAAATCTAGATTTCCAGACGAAGTCCAACATGTTTAAAAAAAAATTAATATGTTGGAACCGGTGGGTTCGTTGCTACCATTAGAACAAGAAGCCTTCAAAAACCTTGTTTCCGACTCTATTCTTCTTTCGTTTTAAAAATGTACATTTGAACAATTATGTATCCCTTGTACAACATTTATTTAGTTTTTTTTAGCGTTAACGGTTGCGACTAACATTTTTACATCGTCTTTTGCAACTTTAATTTAAAAGAAATGTACTTCAATTCGTATGTAGTCTGTAGGCACACGTACTGTTCAGTAAATAAGTTAGATTAAAAATCAGAAGACTTTTACTTTTCATTTTCATACATTTCCAACTTTCGTTTTAGTTTCAGTATATGTATTTAATTTAATTATCGTGGTATCTCAGAGTTGAGTTATTTCACATCTTCATCTCTCGACTGAACTCGCATTTAACTGTTATTATAATAATATTATATGACAGAACTACAACTTCCTATTATTATTCAATATTCTACATTTGTGAACTGTTAACAATTGGAGTTGAAGGCTGTTGAGGAACTTTTAATGGAGCAATTTGGAGGTGTATTGAAAACAGCGCGTCGGAAGCGACAGAGTGAGAGGTTACCCCTTACCTATAGCGATTAAGAAAAGCAATTCTATTTCCTTGTTTGTCCTTTTTCTTTATGTCTTGATTAGCTTCCTGGAGATATCCAATTTAGTTGGGAATAGATTGAACAATTATACAAAGCTTTATCTTTGACTAGCTATATGTAGAGCTTTAACTTTATAATTATTATTAATTAATTACCACCCCCTACCCCCGTGAACAGGGGTGCTGGTTTAAACCGTTTTAAACTGTTTAAATGAATTTATTAAAATGTATAGACTCAAGTAATTTTATCAGTATAATAACAGTGTATTATATAAGAATTATATATGTGAAAGTAATAAAGAAAAGTATATATATACGAAAACAGTGTAAAACATTTTTATTATTTGTCAAATGTAATTCTTTGAATTAGTATTAGTCGATTAGATTATTATTGACAGTTGTGTAACAAAATCTTTGGATCCTCCACAGATTTTTAAAACGTTTATCTTGCCTTAAATCAGACGAATAGAAACTAACTATAATTTCGTACACTCGTAGAGAGAGACACTGACTATTAGAATTAAAATAAGATTTAGTTTCGAAGGTTTAATGGCTAGATACTTGTACAGAAG